AATCGCAGTGATGGCTGGCCTGTCCCGAGACCAGCATGGGGGGAAATATTTATCTGAAAGACTGTGTAGTGCAGGTTTTCGTTCTCCTGTTTTTTTTTTCATATAGAAGACTGTGTTCTCTTGGTAGTTGGCAGTGAGACTTTTCTCTTCGCACTACATCAACTGATATCTGGCTTTATACAGGAAGTACAGTCACTTATGTTGACTAAACCACACACTAGAAAGTGAAGGGACGACGACGTTTCGGTCTCTTCACTTTCTTAGTGTGTGTGGTTTGGTCAACATATTTCAGCCACGTTTTTCTGACTCCTCGTCTGCACAGTCACTTAGATAAGGGTCAGTAATTACATGGAGTAGCTTGGTTATGGTTGATGGACTGCCTGGTACCACTCAGATTGGCTTTAAAGAATGGCAAAGACTAATTTAATTACGTCTCTGAGATAAGGCTCAAAGACTATACCTGACGTTACTCGGATGACGCTCCAAAAGAGCCTGATGTCAGTTACATAATGCTCAAAGACTGCCTGACGTCATACACAGGGTGCCAGATGAGCGATTTTGTATACATGAGGTTGAGCGGGCAACCTGTCCTCTTAAAAAGAACGTCGCTTTTGGCCGTTTGCCCGTATGGCCGAATATGGACGTAATTTGAAAATGTAAAAAATGAAAATAAATTTGGGATTTTTTTGTCAACAACGGTAAGTTATGGGTCGTCTGATAGGTTAGGTGGGCAGGAAATTCTCATAAAATTTCAAAACGGTATGAAAAACGTTAATGGAAAGTTTCCTTTTCTAAGCTGCTCGCTGATCATACCACCTCCCCACGCACACACACACACACACACACACACACACACACACACACACACACACACACACACACACACACACACACACACACAGCCACACGAGCACACCAACAGCTGCTCCAACACAGTTGCAACCAATCTTATCCGTGTCTCATAACTCACGAAGCGTGCATTTTCGTTTTTTTTAGTGAATAAATGTTAAAATCAACCTTCCTTAACTAGAGCGTTTCATCTCTATAGATCACATGACCCGTGTTGTTTAGAGCTAAGCACTTTTATTCTGAAAAACATCTTGGCGTTCTGCTCTACGTCGAAGCTCATTTTCTAGAGTTTATACTCTGTGTCTCTTACAGTTCTCTTACACATAGCACAATTGTACTATGTGTAAGATGAAATGCCATTCTTAGCAGCTTACAAATATACATGTACTTGCAGTATATGTACACAAACATACATATTTACGCCTTTTACAAGCTTTAGCAAGCCTCACCGGAGATAGGGCCATATACATGCTCTCAGGCGTCCAACACTGGAGGTCTCTAAGGCTCACCAGTGTACCCAACATTGGGTCCTCAGGAGTACGATGGTTTAGAGCCTGGGGCTCATGAGAGCTCCCGGCGTCGAGCCCCGAGTCCCCCCCCGGGCCACTGCACCGTGATTTATGTCACGGATTTCACCGCGGTTTGTCTTGGGAGGGAGAGGAACGGCGAACATAATTAACAGGAGTGGGCCGAGTCATATGTTTTCAGGGCTGCCTCTCTCTCTCTCTCTCTCTCTCTCTCACTCACTCGCGCCTTCTTCAATCTTATTCTCACTCCATATATTTTCCAGGTGCTTCTTCTGGTTTATTTGATTCGGAATTGCTCTTGTTAGAGTGTTGTTATATATATATATATATATATATATATATATATATATATATATATATATATATATATATATATATATATATATATATATATATATATATATATATATATATATATAATGTGTGTGTGTGTGTTGTTGCAGTGTTGTTGCATTATTACTGATTCCTGTTCTTGAATTGTTCTTGATTCCTGTTGTTGAACTGTTCTTGATTCCAGTTATTACATTGTTCTTTATTTCTGTCGTTACATTGTTCTTGATTCCAGTTATTACATTGTTCTTTATTTCTGGCGTTACAGTGCTGTTATATATTCCAATTGTCACAGTGTTCTTGTTCATCACTCCATTGTTTCATCTCCCGACACCGCTCTTTAATGACTAGGGATGGTAGTCTGAGAGGTTTAACAAGCCAGTTTCTTGGTATTTACTCCTGTTGAAACCTTTGAATTGTAAAATTTTCTTTATATTTCCTCGTATTTAAAGATCCTCACCTTTTTTGTGGGAGGTGTTTCAGGTTGGAGACTCTGAGCAAATAATATGCATTGAAAGCCTAAATATAGACTTTATTAGCTTAAACAAATGAAACAAATATTTATACGTGTAAAAATAATTGTATATATCACTTTCAAGTCTCCAGCGGTTTTCCATAACTCTTTGTGTCGCTTCTCTAATATCCTGAGCTTTCCCTTTTTTTTCCTTTCTCTTTCACAACCTGTACTTACTTTCTCTTTCACAACCTGTACTTACTTTCTCTTTCACAACCTGCCCTTACTTTCTCTTTCACAACCTGTACTTACTTTCTCTTTCACAACCTGTACTTACTTTCTCTTTCACAACCTGCCCTTACTTTCTCTTTCACAACCTGTACTTACTTTCTCTTTCACAACCTGCCCTTACTTTCTCTTTCACAACCTGCCCTTACTTTCTCTTTCACAACCTGCCCTTACTTTCTCTTTCACAACCTGCCCTTACTTTCTCTTTCACAACCTGCCCTTACTTTCTCTTTCACAACCTGTCCTTACTTTCTCTTTCACAACCACCCCTTACTTTCTCTTTTACAACCACCCCATACTTTCTCTTTCACAACCTGCCCTTACTTTCTCTTTCACAACCTGTCCTTACTTTCTCTTTCACAACCTGTCCTTACTTTCTCTTTCACAACCACCTCTTACTTTCTCTTTCACAACCACCCCTTACTTTCTCTTTCACAACCACCCCTTACTTTCTCTTTCACAACCTACCCTTTCTCTTTCACAACCTGCCCTTTCTCTTTCACAACCTGCCCTTACTTTCTCTTTCACAACCTGCCCTTACTTTCTCTTAACAACCTGCCCTTACTTTCTCTTTCACAACCTGCCCTTACTTTCTCTTTCACAACCTGTACTTACTTTCTCTTTCACAACCTGCCCTTACTTTCTCTTTCACAACCTGTACTTACTTTCTCTTTCACAACCTGCCCTTACTTTCTCTTTCACAACCTGCCCTTACTTTCTCTTTCACAACCTGCCCTTACTTTCTCTTTCACAACCTGCCCTTACTTTCTCTTTCACAACCTGCCCTTACTTTCTCTTTCACAACCTGCCCTTACTTTCTCTTTCACAACCTGTCCTTACTTTCTCTTTCACAACCACCCCTTACTTTCTCTTTTACAACCACCCCATACTTTCTCTTTCACAACCTGCCCTTACTTTCTCTTTCACAACCTGTCCTTACTTTCTCTTTCACAACCTGTCCTTACTTTCTCTTTCACAACCACCTCTTACTTTCTCTTTCACAACCACCCCTTACTTTCTCTTTCACAACCACCCCTTACTTTCTCTTTCACAACCACCCCTTACTTTCTCTTTCACAACCACCCCTTACTTTCTCTTTCACAACCACCCCTTACTTTCTCTTTCACAACCACCCATTACTTTCTCTTTCACAACCTGTCCTTACTTTCTCTTTCACAACCACCCCTTACTTTCTCTTTCACAACCTGTCCTTACTTTCTCTTTCACAACCTGTCCTTACTTTCTCTTTCACAACCTGTCCTTACTTTCTCTTTCACAACCTGTCCTTACTTTCTCTTTCACAACCTGTCCTTACTTTCTCTTTCACAACCTGTCCTTACTTTCTCTTTCACAACCACCCCTTACTTTCTCTTTCACAACCACCCCTTACTTTCTCTTTCACAACCACCCCTTACTTTCTCTTTCACAACCACCCCTTACTTTCTCTTTCACAACCTGCCCTTACTTTCTCTTGCACAACCACCCCTTACTTTCTCTTTCACAACCACCCCTTACTTTCTCTTTCACAACCACCCCTTACTTTCTCTTTCACAACCACCCCTTACTTTCTCTTTCACAACCACCCCTTACTTTCTCTTTCACAACCACCCCTTACTTTCTCTTTCACAACCACCCCTTACTTTCTCTTTCACAACCACCCCTTACTTTCTCTTGTACAACCACCCCTTACTTTCTCTTTCACAACCACCCCTTACTTTCTCTTTCACAACCTGCCCTTACTCGTTCTCACTAAATTCTCAGTGTTCCTTCGGTGTTTATGGTCACTTGAGTTTCAATCACCTATATGTGTTTAATTTGACCCAAGCATCTTACCTTTACTCCTTACTTTCACTTTGTTCTTTCACCTAACTGCATGTACCTGACCTCCCAGTGGAATACATCCTCTGTTCCCTACTGTCTCCTCACTTGAGGCTGAACCATGTAGGTTCGAAACGTTATGTAAATTATAATATGTTTAATACATTCTACACTTAATTGTTATTATTTATGTCAACGTTGAACAAATATGACATTTGCAGTAATCCTTTTCCAGTTAAACCGAGATGCAAGAGCACTAGACAGAGGGAGAGAAGCCCCTTAACAAGAAAATAATCAACACGGAATATGAAGTTATATTCAATGAGCCATGTCTAATTGAAAATTTGATGCCAGTATACACTATTATACAAACTTGTGTGTAATATATATATATATATATATATATAACTAGTATATATATATATATATATATATATATATATATATATATATATATATATATATATATATATATATATATATATATATATATATATATATATATATATATATATATATATATATATATATATATAATATAATATATATATACATGATTGCATCTTTCCCTCCAGACACATTTCACCAACAACATTCCTATTATCAACTCAAGTGACAATTTCACTTAAAATGTATATGTTACCCTTTCTAAACCATCCACAGTCACCTGTCAACCGACACCAGGTGCACCAACCCCCGCGCCACCCATCTCTCGTCAACGCCCAGTAACGTACCTTCCTCCAGTTGAAGCGCTTGAGTATAGAAGTGACGGACTTGCTGATCTGGTTGTCAGGTGGTCTGGTGCGGGCGAAGGTCGGGAAGCTCTTCTTGTCTGACGTCTCCGGATGTGTGCAGAACTGTGGGGAGGGAGAGAGACACGAGCTGAGGACGGGTTACGGAGTCGTGAACATGTGTGTGTGAGTGGGTCACGGCTAATAATATGTGAGTGGGGAAATGTGGTAGGTCGGTTTTCTCCTATTATTTGCATAGAACTCAATGTTAACACTCGGAAGACCTGGCCCTTGTCATGGAGCTCAGTTATAACACCGGGAAGACCTGGTCCTTGTCATGGAGCTCAGTTATAACACCGGGAAGACCTGGTCCTTGTCATGAATCTCAGTTATGACACCGGAAAGACCTGGTCCTTGTCATGGAGCTCAGTTATAACACCAGGAAGACCTGGTCCTTGTCATGGAGCTCAGTTATGACACCGGGAAGACCTGGTCCTTGTCATGGAGCTCAGTTATAACACCGGGAAGACCTGGTCCTTGTCATGGAGCTCAGTTATAACACCGGGAAGACCTGGTCCTTGTCATGGAGCTCAGTTATGACACCGGGAAGACCTGGTCCTTGTCATGGAGCTCAGTTATAACACCGGGAAGACCTGGTCCTTGTCATGGAGCTCAGTTATGACACCGGGAAGACCTGGTCCTTGTCATGGAGCTCAGTTATAACACCGGGAAGACCTGGTCCTTGTCATGGAGCTCAGTTATGACACCGGGAAGACCTGGTCCTTGTCATGGAGCTCAGTTATAACACCGGGAAGACCTGGTCCTTGTCATGGAGCTCAGTTATGACACCGGGAAGACCTGGTCCTTGTCATAGAGCTCAGTTATGACACCGGGAAGACCTGGTCCTTGTCATGGAGCTCAGTTATAACACCGGGAAGACCTGGTCCTTGTCATGGAGCTCAGTTATAACACCGCCGGGACAAACGTATTGACTGGCTGCGGAGATTAACGACAGGAACAAAACTAATGACTAATAAAACCCCGCTACACGTACTGAATAACTTGACAAGTACAACTGATATTATATATAGATATTATTATAATTTTAAACATAAAAAATTAAGATATTTATGACGTAAAAATATCTTGAAGGCGAGAAATAGTTTTAGATTTGAGTGTTATACTTCACCCTCCTGGAACGTTGCGTTAAAGGAAGCACTCACTCGAGTGATAACTTGGCGCTAAGTCTATCATCAGATTAAGCGCACTCAAGCTGAAACCCTCCCCCCCCCCCATTTTTTTTCTCGTATATAAATTAATTGTAAATTATTTTGGAATTGTGTGGATAATTAGGTCTAGGAGACGTTAGGTTTTTTTTTGCTGGTAGTTAATAATATTTAAAGTACTTGGATGAACCATTCGTTCTATAACGAAATGGTTTAATGATAATTTTGTCATTGTTTACGTGAGTGGTGCTACGAATCTTTAACAATAACAGCGTGAGTGGTGTTTGCTGGAGACCGTAGTTCGAGCCCCACCGGTGAACCACTGGGAATGTTCACACATACTTACCCTACACGATTGTTCATGCGACCAACACCAACCCGACCACCACCACCAACTACCCGACCACCACCACCAACAACTACCCGACCACCACCACCAACAACTACCCGACCACCACCACCTACAACTACCCGACCACCACCACCAACTACCCGACCACCAACACCTACAACTACCAGACCACCACCACCAACTACCCGACCACCACCACCAACTACCCGACCACCAACACCTACAACTACCAGACCACCACCACCAACTACCCGACCACCACCAACAACTACCCGACCACCACCACCACCACCAACTACCCGACCACCACCACCAACTACCCGACCACCACCACCAATTACCCGACCACCACCAACAACTACCCGACCACCACCACCACCACCAACTACCCGACCACCACCACCACCAACTACCCGACCACCACCACCAACTACCCGACCACCACCACCAACTACCCGACCACCACCACCAACTACTACCCGACCACCACCACCACCTACAACTACCCGACCACCACCAACTACCCGACCACCACCACCACCTACAACTACCCGACCACCACCACCACCTACAACTACCCGACCACCACCACCACCAACTACCCGACCACCACCACCACCAACAACTACCCGACCACCACCACCACCAACAACTACCCGACCACCACCACCACCTACAACTACCCGACCACCACCACCACCAACAACTACCCGACCACCACCAACAACTACCCGACCACCACCACCAACAACTACCCGACCACCACCACCAACAACTACCCGACCACCACCACCAACAACTACCCGACCACCACCACCTACAACTACCCGACCACCACCACCACCTACAACTACCCGACCACCACCACCACCTACAACTACCCGACCACCACCACCACCTACAACTACCCGACCACCACCACCACCTACAACTACCCGACCACCACCACCACCAACAACTACCCGACCACCAGCAAGTACCCGACCACCACCACCACCACCAACTACCCGACCACCACCACCACCACTAACTACCCGACCACCACCACCAACTACCCGACCACCACCACCACCACCAACTACCCGACCACCACCACCACCACCACTAACTACCCGACCACCACCACCAACTACCCGACCACCACCACCACCACCACTAACTACCCGACCACCACCACCAAATACCCGAATACCACCACCACCACCACCAACTACCCGACCACCACCACCAACTACCCGACCACCACCACCAACTACCCGACCACCACCACCACCACCACCAACTACCCGACCACCACCACCAACTACCCGACCACCACCACCAACTACCCGACCACCACCACCAACTACCCGACCACCACCACCAACTACCCGACCACCACAACACTGGGAATCACCAGCACCCTTGACATGCACCCAGTGTCAAGCACTGGAAAATAAATCTGGACCAAAATAAAGGAGTAATTGGAGAACAGTAAGAACAGCTTCTTTAAATTGGAAGAAAGTAGCAGAAGAGAAGAGAAATGTTATCTGGAAATGCAAACGGAATCGTAGACATGTGAGGGAATACACATACCCCTGAAAGAAGACGTTGTGGCAAGTAGACGGAGCCCAGATGAGCAAGAACTCACCCCACTAAGTGAGTGTTAGGTAGGCACTGTGAGGTGAGCACCACGCTCTCACACGAGGTGAGCACCACGCTCTCACACGAGGTGAGCACCACGCTCTCACACGAGGTGAGCACCACGCTCTCACACGAGGTGAGCACCACGCTCTCACACGAGGTGAGCACCACTCTCTCACACGAGGTGAGCACCACGCTCTCACACGAGGTGAGCACCACGCACTCACACGAGGTAAGCACCACGCACTCACACGAGGTGAGCACCACGCTCTCACACGAGGTGAGCACCACGCTCTCACACGAGGTGAGCACCACGCACTCACACGAGGTGAGCACCACGCACTCACACGAGGTGAGCACCACGCTCTCACACGAGGTGAGCACCACGCTCTCACACGAGGTGAGCACCACGCTCTCACACGAGGTGAGCACCACGCACTCACACGAGGTGAGCACCACGCTCTCACACGAGGTGAGCACCACGCTCTCACACACTGGAGAGCCTCGTCAGTAACTGAAGATGAACTCCAGGAGCGCTGTGCGCCTCACTGCAGTGAAGACATAAGCCCGCTCCTTGCATCAAGAGATAAGAAAATGTGAGGGGAATCTTAGCCAGCTGTCACACGCGGGAGATGAATGCCGGAATAAGGACGAGCAACGAGCAGAGAGAATCTTGGAGTCTTGCCCTGACACAGCTTAGGCACTGATGGCACTGTGCCATGACACAGCTTAGGCACTGATGGCACTGTGCCATGACACAGCTTAGGCACTGATGGCACTGTGACGTGACACACCTGACGAAGCACTGATGGCACTGTGCCATGACACACCTGACGAAGCACTGATGGCACTGTGCCGTGACACACCTGACGAAGCACTGATGGCACTGTGCCGTGACACCTGACGAAGCACTGATGGCACTGTGCCGTGACACACCTGACGAAGCACTGATGGCACTGTGCCGTGACACACCTGACGAAACACTGATGGCACTGTGCCGTGACACACCTGACGAAGCACTGATGGCACTGTGCCGTGACACACCTGACGAAACACTTATGGCACTGTGCCGTGACACACCTGACGAAACACTGATGGCACTGTGCCGTGACACATCTAAGGTGGTGGTGGTGGCTCTGTCATGAAACGGTGAACAGGAATCAGGAAGAAGAGAGATGGGAACGTGCACCATAAAAGTAACGTGTTGTCAGTCTAAGGCAAGTGATTGAGAGAGTGCGGCCAAGAGCCCTCCGCGCGGTCACGAAGACAGCTCTTGACTCTCTACAGGAGTAATAGCAACTCCAGCTGACGGCTCAAGCCAACTCCGGGATCCGCGATAGAGTCAGTGGGAAGTTTTCTCGTTTATTTCGTAATTACCTACATAAGTATCTTCGTGGTGAAGGAGAGAGGGAAGGTGGTGAAGGAGAGAGGGAAGGTGGTGAAGGTGAGGGAAGGTGGTGAAGGTGAGGGAAGGTGGTGAAGGAGAGAGGGAAGGTGGTGAAGGTGAGGGGGAAGGTGGTGAAGGAGAGAGGGAAGGTGGTGAAGGAGAGAGGGAAGGTGGTGAAGGAGAGAGGGAAGGTGGTGAAGGAGAGGGGGAAGGTGGTGAAGGAGAGGGAAGGTGGTGAAGGAGAGGGGGAAGGTGGTGAAGGAGAGGGAAGGTGGTGAAGGAGAGGGGGAAGGTGGTGAAGGAGAGGGGGAAGGTGGTGAAGGAGAGGGAAGGTGGTGAAGGTGAGGGAAGGTGGTGAAGGAGAGAGGGAAGGTGGTGAAGGAGAGAGGGAAGGTGGTGAAGGAGAGAGGGAAGGTGGTGAAGGTGAGGGAAGGTGGTGAAGGTGAGGGAAGGTGGTGAAGGAGAGAGGGAAGGTGGTGAAGGTGAGGGAAGGTGGTGAAGGAGAGAGGGAAGGTGGTGAAGGAGAGGGAAGGTGGTG